GGGGGAGATGCGCGGGTCCCCCCACCCCCAGCCGAGGGCGGGGGGGCCCTGCTAGCGGCCCCCCGCATCTGCCTGAGAAGCCACCCGAGCCCGGGTAGTGGGGGCCGAGGCAAGAGCAGGGGACACGGCTGCTCTGTGCCCGCACCGGGGGTGCCCCTGAACCCCCTTTCCCTCTCTTGCAGGTGCTGCTGGGCTTCGAAACGGTGTCGGCGTCATGCAGGAGAGCTACGAGTCCTTGATCCTGCTGGGTAAGGCTGGCGTCCTCGCCCGCTGCCCGCGGCGTGCCGCCGCCTGCCCGGCCACATGCCGGGCTTCGCCATTAAAAAATAATCCGCTGCCAAAAAAGACGCATTCTGCGGGCGCGGCAAGAACAAAAGCTGTCCTTACCATGCATCGGTGCAGCCTGCACTGCGGGGTTGGGCACCTGCCTTCGGCATTGCGAGCCCTTTCAGTGCAACACGGTGTGTGCTTTTTAGCTGGCGGGCGCAGGATGAAAAGCAACTGCGATTTTTGTGGGAGTTAGGGTTTTTTAAGGCGTTGGGTGCAGAGAAACGTGGTGCTGGGATGGCACATCCCTCCTTGGAAGGTGGGAGATGCCAGAAGCAAGGTTACCTGCCAAGCGGCCACAGTCCACTGGCTGGAAATGCCTTTTATTGCCTTTCTCTCCCAGCTGCTCGCCTGAACACAAAATGCCATATTTTCTTTTAAAAGTACACATACATAGTGTTCAATAAACCCCACGTAACAGACCTGTAACAAACTCGGTGTCTTCTTTCCTCCTTTTTCCGGAGCAGACTTCCCGATTCCTAAGCCCAACGTCATCTCCCGGCTGGAGCTGGAGGAAGAGCTGGGGGTGCCGGACCCAAACGACTCCAAGGAATGGGAGATCCTCAGGGTGGCGCCTGCAGGTGAGCCAGGACCCCACCCTGAACGGGCCAGAGGTTTTACCGACGGCCCTGTGGCAGTCCCTGCTCCTGCGTCTCCGGGAGCATCCCAAGCTGGCAGCTATCCAGGGCTCTGCGTGGAGCTGCCAGGCTGGGGCCGGGAAGCGCTTTCTTGCCCTCTGTTCTGGGATCGGCCTTTGGCAGCTGGCCGCCCAAATTCTTCCTTTTTCCCTTCGCACCGGGGATCACTCCTGTTGGCATTGTCTCTCTCTGCCCCAGCAGATGACGGGACGGGGAGCGAGAACGAGGAGGAGGCTCCCGAGCCGGACGGCCCTGAGCTGGCAGAGCTGGACGTCATCCTGTCCCGGGGCACTGAGGAGGGCGTCCCCCAGAGCCCTGTGCTCGGGGACGCCTGCCAGAGCCACTGCGGCCCACCCTGGGACCCCCGGAGCCCCCCCGAGGAGCGGCCAGCACGG